ATATATATATAAAATCTTAGAGAAACCTGTAGTAATTAACAAAGCTGAAATTTGACACTTTCAATAAAAACTGAAGGCAATGGAACTACTTTATAGTTAAGCCTGACTACACGATTAGCTTCTGGGAAGTAATTTTGTACTTTTTAATCTTCTAGCTTCTCCATACAAGTGCCTTTTGGCCTATCTCCACTATTCTAAAAGCAATTCATACACAGCATCAGCTACGACACCTGAACTCATGACATCAACTCTTGTATTCACAGAAGGTAAGTAAAACAATCAAATTTCAAGGCAATACATTTGAAAAGGTTACAAAAAAAATCTAAAGAAGAGAAAAGCCTGACAATTTGTAGCTGGCTTTTAAAGCAAAACTACAGCTCAACAAGTCTTAGTACATTTGATATCTCTTTTTATCTCTAGCATCTATTTTAGGGAGACTTCACCAAGTTCTTCCTCCTAATTGATCACAACTTGACTCTCCATGACAGGGCTGCAGAGCATCAAATAATTGCAAAATTCTTTCTTGCTCCTCACTGAGCATGCTGTGTTCTCCAATATACTGTAGAAAAAATATATGCAAATTTCTTAACTTATGCAAGATATTTAAGGCAAAACAACTTACTTGTGTATTTTTGTTTTCTGCGTTCACCACTGAAGGATATCCATCTACTAGTTTCTGTACAATTGCGACCATTCTGGATGTTTGTGTAGTGGAAAAAGGATCCCATATGTTTTCAGAAATCACTGTAAAAGATTAAAGAATTACTCCACTTCATAAATGCTCGAACACAACTACTAACAACAGCCAGTTGTTAGTAATTTAGTAGTTAGTAAATTAGTTGGTAATAATTTACAAAACAGTAAGACCTGAAAGCACAAACCTCAGGTTCTACACACACCCCTTTCTCCCCATTTTTTTCTTTCCAAGACTATACCTGTTAGTTTAGGAAGAACAACTCTCTCTACAATGGTAGGCAACAGTGAAATATCAGCATCATCTTTCACTTGTTCCTGTTCTTCACAGCCATAAAACAGCAATGATTCAAACCACAACATAGTCTCAAAATCTCGACACTTGCCCTAGTGAAAAAAGAACTGAGGTTAGATTTCTAAATAGAGATTTGCAGTCAACACATTAAAGGAAAAAAAAGTAAAAGTAGTATATACACAAGCATGATACACTCACAAAATAGAACAAAGCTACTTTAGAACACTTTAGGAGGTATGCTAGGGAGGCAGGGCAAGCAATTGAGCACAACTTAAACCTAGTGCTTTTTGTTTACATGTCAGATACTCATCTGCACTGGAAATTAAACAACAAAAGAAATAGTGCCTCAAGAGCAGTCTCCTAACCTGGCACAGGGGCGGACAAATTACTTCACCTGCTTTGGCTCCCCTACTTCTGAAGCAATGACACTACTTCCTTCAGAAACAGAGGCAAGACTGATTCCTGAGAAGTGAAAAAAAATGTTCTGCCTAGAACATGCATTTACGAGAAGCACACATCAAAGGTGCAATTTACTTTGCTCTGCAGAAGTGTGAAAGAACCGCTGTATAGAAACTTATGTAGATAAGTTGCTTGCAGAGGACCTTACCTCCAAAGGAGTCCAGATAAGCAGCTGAAGTCTGATTAAAGGGTTAAACAGCTTTGGTAAACAGAGGCCAATGTAGGCATCCTTGTAAGAAGCAAAGTACTTTGCGCGCCAAGCTTCAAACTGTGACTTAATACAATCAATTGAGTAAAAGCTTTCCAAAACATCTTCAAAAACTTTGCTGGATTCTTTCAATATACGATCTAGGGGGAGAGAAAGAGTAAGAAGTTAATCACCTATTCCCTGTACTACCTCTTCCAAAAGGGACTTTGATCCTCACTGGCATAAGCAACCTCTATAAACAAACAAAACCCCATCACGTTTAAAAGTTCTGTTACTTCTGCTTCAAGTATACAAAGTAATAAGAACATGAGCACATGATTAGTCTCTGATGTACTATTTTATCACAGGTCTCGCTTTAAACATTTCATACAATTAGTGCGTACTGAGCTGTATTCAAGCATGGATCTAACTTCAAAACTGGCCTTGCTCAGCATGGGAGTCTGGAACAGCTGACCTGCAGGTCCCTTCCAACCCAATGATGCTATAACTTTGTGCATCCAAATGCAAGTACAGGAAGGCAACTCAGATAAGCTAACTGAATCGGCATGTCAGACTGAGAGGGCACTGGCAGACACCATGCTGAACTGCTGAACATAACACAGCTGTTAGCACTGGGCAACTGTAACAATCCCTTAGCACCTTCCTTATGTTTTTTTGTATTTACAGTACCAGTATTCCATGCAGTCCAAAACAATTTCCGAATATATTACTTTCCCTTCATCTTTTCAACTTCCCAGGGTTAGTTTCATTTTCATCAGTCATTTTTGCTGCAGCCAGTTTTAAATGTTCAGTTATAGTAGTAACCTGTACACAACTAATATAACTAGGACACTCAGAAGGTAGAGACAAGCCTGAGGAACCATAAGATTATGTCATATAAACACACTTTTTACACTGGCGCCAAGAAGAGATGCTACAAATGAAGTTAACAGGCCCAAAGTGCATCCCTCTGTTCCATATAGCTCACTGCTCATTCTGGACTAACATGAGAGCTACGAATGATTAAAAATAAACAATCTTTAGAAATACTATGCTTACTCAGAAACTGATGAAACTCCTACAAAAGGCTTTAGTACACATGAAAGTGCCAAGCTGCAAAGAGCAATTCAGCCATGCTGAATTTTTAATCTAGATAATTTAACTTAGCAAACTTAATTATAGCACCTAACAACCCTGAACAGTTGCTTTGTTTATCAAAGAGCTCTCCCTGCACCCACAATTTTGGTAACTCAGCCAGCAACTAAAAGTGTGGAAACTGTTTGCACTTCTGAAGGATCCAACTGTTAGACAGTTCATTTAATTGCTTTTTTAATCTGTTCACACTTTGGATCTCCACAGCCTCCTACAGCAATGACTTTGGCATTTTTATTACAGTCTCTGTGGGAAGTGACTTGTTTACTTTAAACCAATCCTACCACTTCATTTCATGCCCCCTAGCTCTCATGCTGTGAAAAGTCAACATTGTTCTCCTAGCTGAAGATTGTAAAACTGTTTAATCCTCCCTCATACACAACGTAAGCAATTCTTTATGTGTGATCGTTGCTGCTCCCCTTCTCCACATTTCTTCTAAACTGATTAAATTCTCCTTAATCAGACAAAATTACAGTGTTGTACTCAGATTCAAAATAAGAAGGGAACAGGATTACTATAGTCATGCTCCACTTTCTTCACTACTGGTTTCACAGCAATCACTGGAAATGTATTTTAACTGCTGCTGTATAAAAGAGGAAAAAAGTTTTCTAAAGGTTTCTAAATCACTGAGGTTTTCAGAATTTCACGTGTAAGACAAACATGTTTGAAGAATGATAAACCATGTTACAAAGTAGAAGGAAGACAGTATCCACTTGAAGGTACAAAATCTTACTGCTTGCCAGCAAAAGAATGTTTTAATTAAGGAGGATCTCAGTAAGGACGGGGTACTTCATTAGCTGCAAGCTGCACAACAGCCTGGTGAAAAAAGACTGTTTTGGTCACATTGATGATCCAGCAAGGAACAGTTCCCAAACTTCCTCCAAAATATGGTGAAATATATGGCCAGGGCTGTATTTGGATCAATTATTTTTTTCTGCCATTTTTTCTGTATTTTGTTACATAAAGCTTCAGTAGCTTTGCTAACCTCGCTCCATGTTGAAGTTTGTAATATCTGTCGAAGTTTCCTCATCATCGCTGGAAAGGCCTTCAAGATGATCTGCCATCTTCCCAGTTTGCTCTCTTGCTTGTCTACGACGAGCTCTGAAAAAGATCATCAGCATAAACCAGTTATTACTGGGTTTTTTTACCTCCATGCAATGAACAGACCCATGTAAGCTTGTCATAGCTTTCAGTGCAAGGAAATCCAGGCTAAAACCCCACACACACTTTCACTACATCACCACGTCTATGTTGCTGCCTCAAACAATGGACGGAAGAGAAACCAGCAGAGACCAGACAGATATGGTTTACTATGTGTTCTTTTAGTGATTTTATATCAGTATCATATAATGGAGCCTTGTTTTGTATATTTGCATAGTAAGCTGGGATATGCAAGAATACCCCTGCCCAGCTTCAGTGTTTTCTTCCCTTTGCAGGAAAGGAGCAAACATTGCTACTTACATTAGTAAGTGACACGGGACAACTGTATTCTACAAGCAAGCAAAGACTCCTAATGGACAAGAAATGTCAGTACTCTACCTTCTAGCCTCTCTTTCTGCAGTCCGACGCTTTACTTGTTCTTGATAGATCACTCTGTCTCGTCCAAAAGATTCAAGATTTGGTGCCATCAGTGCCTTATCTGTAAAATTAGATGGGTGAAAATTAAAATGCTTATCTATGATTATATAAACATGTTGCAGGCAGTTTCATAAGAGCCTTCTACCTACTTTAAACTAAGAGTAATTTGAAGTAGAAAGTTGAAGTTTTAAAAAAAGATGCACCCAGAAGCCTGAATTCGCAAGTATAGAGGTTGAAAGAGGAAGTAGTGGGGTTTGGAAAAATCTCCGCTTAAATAACAGATAGTTTTCACCATACCTCATTCTTGTCCCTCTCACAACAGTGCCCAACTATATAAAAGTTAACATTTAAAAGAAACTGCTTAAATTGAAAGTTCCACAACAAAAGGTGCTCCTTACATAAACATGCTCACCATGTATCTTTCGAAAAGAAAACGAACAAAAAGGCAGGCAGAGAAGAGTCACCAGAGGTGTAATATATGATATTTGGGAGTTCTGTTCATAGTGGTTTTGAAGTTTATATGCTTTAGACTGCCTAAAGTTTTAAACTCACCAAAATCTACAGGAAAATAAACTATCTTCCTTCCTCTTTTTAAGCTGTAATTCGTTATAGATGTTCCTGATTATAGAAAACACCACCACTAACCAATGAAGCTGATCGTCAACCAGCAGCCAGACACAAAAGTATTTCCAGTTCATCCTTCTCAGGTAAATTTAAGACATGGACTGAATATTAGCCAGTGCTAAAGCCCACCCACTAAAATATAAACATCAAAATTTAAAGAAAAGCTTATCCAAATTTCAGAGTAAATTTTATGTTCTTACTAAAACTATTTACAAATTCATCATTAAAAATATTAACGATCATCTATATAAGTATTCCAAATCTGTACCAGAACTACTAAGAGCCTTCACATACTGATGAATCCATCAGTTGTCCAATTTTTAAAATGTTATTCCAAGCTCAGCTGCTTGTCTTTACGTAGAAATAAAGCAAAAGTTGACAGACAAACTTAAATTCACTTCTAGCCCTTTAGTGTTCTGACACTGCATGAAGAAAAGCAGATTGTCTGTGTCTGTACACGCACCAAATCAATTTCTGGCATCAATTCCTAGTTTCTGTGGTAATTTCAGAGAAAGAACTGAACTATTTCTAGATACGGTGAAATCCATTCTCAAGATTCCCAGATACTAAATAAGATCTCTCTTTAAAACGCAGCCTTGACAATGACAACTATTTCCACCCCATAATTAAATTCCAGTCTAAAATAATCTAAGCTTCTTTTAGGAAATATGTTTCTAGTATATTAGGTTTCTAATTTTTACAACAGCATTTTCATAGTAAAACTGCAAAGCCTACATGTGATGCCTGGGGCTCCAAATGAAGTCCTAAAGGGAACATGTATGCTAACCACTCTGTAAAGGGATGACCAGCTCTGATGCCCTAACACTTTATCACCCTCAGTAAGTTCTATCTAATGGTATTATCAAAATTTCATCTCTGGACACAATATGACAGAATAGAAAATGGCTTTTATTACAGGATTTTATGTCAGCAAAAGGACAGACAAGAAAGCCATTTTTAAAAACAGAAAGCTCTCCAAAGCAGAAAGATGACTGCCAACAATATGATATTTACCCACCATTAACATGCTGAATAAAACTTCCTCCAAGGAATGTGTATTTCCATCCAAGTTAGCATTTATACTTTTGTAGTTTCACATACTGAAGAGCAATCACCACGAGAAAACTCCTCATTAAGAATCCCCCATCCACACACTCACGGTAAGCAGGTATTTTAACTGACTAATCTTAAATTGTAAGGTCACTTTGTATTAAATTGATTCTTAACAATGGCATCAGTCTCTTCCAGTTCTTTAGTTTTACCAGTTAAGTGTCTGAAATGAAATATTTATACTGCCTACAAAACAGAGCATTAGAAAGAAATCAGCTCTATCCCAGTGCATCATAGCTTTGTACAGAGTTAATTGTAGGTGTTACAGGAAATTTATAGATGAGATTAGGAAAAAAAAAAGTCCTGACAAGAGGAAAATCAGGAGTCACATGCTACCACTACTACCACTGCCACCATGCATACATTTCCAGTGCTAGGAAAGAGAAAATACAGTTAGGAGCAAAAGAAAGGAGAGGTGAAGTCAAATTTATGAGTGGCTTTGAGTTTAAAACAAAACAGATTAGAGAACTTTTATCTAAACTTGCTTCTACCCATCTCGAGTAAGGATAAACGTTAAAGACAGTCATACTTTAAACATTCACATTTAAATTAAGCCATACTAAATAAAACAAGGTTGTTTAATGAATAATAAAAACCTTCAAGATGGACTGACTTGAATGGCTTGAAAACTCCGAAGATTCATCTTTAATATCATCTTGTCGTCTTTGGACAAGGCGGGAAGCTCGCTGTTTGTACAGCTGGTGCATTGCGGACTCAAGTTCGTTAATCAGAGGCACCTGTAAAAATACAACACACTACGTAATATCAAGTTCTTCAGGTGCTTAGTTTCTGGGGTACCATACTATTCCGAAGCATAATGCTGTCACTGTACTTCTAGCAGCACAAACTGTTTCCTTTTACCCACTGGTATCATTTGGACACAATGTGACAAAAACGCATGCATTTAATGCTGACAGCTTTTAACCGTAGAAATAGCATTCTCAAAGTAACTTCTATTGACTGAGTGAGTCTACAGAGTAAGACAACCATTTTAAAGCGTTGAAATGTTACCTCAAGTACCTTCGCATATTACATACTACCAAGCATATTACATACTGTGTTATGGTGCTTACAACTCTCAGACCTCTGTTTCCTCTCTACCTTTAAACAAGAATGTAGTAGTATTCTGTACTTCAATGAGAAAATAACCTGACTGTATACAGTAAAAAAAAACCAACACGAATCTAACCTCCTGAAGCCAGCAGCTTGTGGTTTGCTATAAAACTCTTATGCTGAAATACAATAAACTGCTGCCTAAGCATGTTAGGCCAACAGGTAATTCCAATCAGTAAAATCATTAAAATTAAAATTGTACAATTCATGTGAGTTATGCATTAAGTATAACCTTTGAATGATACAGACTTAAAGTCAGACCAGACCTGCCACTTTGCCTTTGTCCCCCTTCCCCCCAAAGTGGACTAAATTTCAGTAGCAACTATAGCAAAAAATAGCTGATGTGGTAACATCTAGAAATCTCCTGACATTAAATATGTCAGATTCACTGCACACTTTTGAAAAAATAATTTCCTGGGACAAGTGAAAATTAGATTATTATAAATATCCAGATGCAAAAGAGAACCTTCACAGTCTCCTAATTTTGAAAGGCAACTCCTTTTGGTATGAACGCTTAAGTCCTTACCTCCGCGACACATGCTTAGTCCACAGTCCTACAGCCTTTTAGCTCAAATACTTCATTGCTGCCTACCAGCGAGAATTAAGGTGGGTTTTTTTCCAAAACAAAAGATAAAATCAGAAATTGTTTCCCAATATAATTTAGAACATGACTCAGCAGCTATTAAAGAAACTCCTCCAGTAAAATGTAAGATTGTGAGATCACAGATACAGGGTCATTTCAGCTATCTGAGAATGACACACACATCAGAGGAGATATCAAAAGGATGAAGTATTAGTGCTCTGTGGTATAAACTGGCCTGCAGGGATTAAAATAAAAGCAACTCTGCACCAACTCAAACTACACGCATCCTTTGGAGAAAAGAGAGTAGAAAGAAACTGGAGGTCGCAATATCCCAGTACTGAAAGTGTGTATTTGGTATTTAACACAATTTTGAAAACAGAAATATTAAAAAACCCCAAACAAATAGTTTTACTGTAGTTTACCACAAAAACTATAGATTCTTCTCTTACAAGTCTACAAGGAATTCTAAAATTTACAAATTAAATGAAATTTTCAAAACATCCCTTGGAGTTTTTTCTATAATTGCCTCAGGACTAAAAAACCCCAACTATGTATTCAGATACATAAATCCATTCAAAATACTTCCTACTTAAAACACAAGAGACTTAGAAGACATTAATCTTCTATAATCAATACTGTGGTTGATAAATAATTGACAATTTCACTGACTACTATAAAGCTACAGCTGTCATTTATTGTTTTATTTAGTCAATACTTTAAATTCAGTGGTCTGGGTTCTTTTTTCTTCACTTTCACTGTAAACAGCAGTAAGAGAAAAAGTGGAAAGCTCTCTGAATGTTTAGACGACAAGCATAATTTTAACCTACAGTCCCCCTCTCTGACACACAGTGTGTTTTGATAATCTGCTTTTGCAGGTCAAATAACTGTTCATCTAACTGTGCCGCCAGACACGCTCAGAACAATTCTGTATCCCTTGCATATTCCTACATTCAAAATGTAAAGACACTGTTACCACTTTCTAGCCTTCTCAGAAAGCATAATCTTGACCCTAATTACTTGTGAAGGAAGTCATGCAAGCAGCTTGCGCTCCACTGGCTTTTATCATTTATGGGGGGGGGGGGGG